CATTACCAGGTGTTGTTGGTAGTGTTTCAAGATTATCGGGTGATTGAATATCATCTAAATCATAATCTATACCAAAATTTTCTTGCATTCGCTCATAAAATATATTTAAATTTTCAGCTGAACTTTCAGAAATATGTGTAAGCTACTAGAAGAATCAACACCACCTCTTGATCTTTTGGAAGTTTTTTTACTACCACCTCTACTAGTGCATGCTTTTTTGGCCGCTCTAAGTAAATCCATTATGTAAATTAAAGTAAGAAATTAAAGTAAGAAATTAAATTAAGAAATTAAATTAATAATTCTAAATAATAAAATAAGTGTACACCAAATAAGAGAAAGAGATGGAACGAGTGTACCGGAATTCCGGATGCCGCACTAATTTTGAATTTCTGATATCAAAAATCAAACTTCAATTGATAGACCGAAACTTGATAGTTGATAGTTGATAGTTGATACTTGATACCACACTTCATTTGAATACTTGATATTTGATAATAATAATTTGTAATGGCTAAGCTAAATAATTGATGAAACTTGAAATAATAAATAATTGAGAATTTGAGATTTGAGAATTTTAGAACTATAATATCAAGAGAGACTTGAGACATGAGAGAGAATTAGAGTAGTAAAAGGGTGAATTGTGAGAAAAAATGAAGAAGAAGGGGGGCTATTAATAGATTTTAAAAGGTTCAAAATGTAAATTTTTAATTATTAGGGGTGGGAGGGCCGAAATGGCCAGTTTTGCAAAATCTGGCCGTTCCCCAACGGTCATTTCTCAATTTGACCGTTGGGAACGGTCCAATTAATTTTATTTTTTTTAAAAAAATTACCAACGGTAACCGGGCTCCTAACGGGCTGCAGCCCGTTAACAACCTGTTAATGGGCGACGGGCTACGCGGGTTCAGTGCACCGTTAAGTAGAACGTGTTCGTCCAAAATCCGCCCCCTACCAACCCGTCCCAACCCGCCCAGTAGTGAACAGTAGCGGGCTAAACCAGACTGACCCAGGTTAAAGCGATTTGATAACGGGTCAACCCGGCCCGATTAACAGGAATAGTTAAGAGGTTGGAAAGAGAAAGAGTTTGCTTGTTGAGGTAAAATTGGGGCCCATAAAACTACATGTCCAAAAATAAAAGAAACACACACGTACTTTGTTTTGTGCGAATAAAATTTCTCTGCGTCCACATTTGACACATAACTACAAAAATAGGTTTTACAAAAATGCTCCAAATAAGTTACTCTTAATTTATCAACCTTTCCTTTAGTCATTAATTATAAGTCTATCAAAACTAACTAAACACATATAAAATTTAAAACTCAAAAAAAATAAAAATTCTTTCTTTCCAAGAATCATACGAAAATATTTTTCATATTTTTAAGCGTGATCAACAATATTAGATGCAAAATGGAAAGGAAATTTAATGAATTAAG